AGCCAGCTGCACTAAACCCTGACCATGAAAATCTGATCAAATCTGCTGTAAATCCCTTCCTGTCTTTACATTTCTAATAACAAGTAAACTTCCTGCTCCAGTATGCATCACAGATTAAGCCACCCCTTAATGCTGCGTGTGCAAAAAGATTTCTGTTGCACGCTCACTCCCAGAAAATACAGATTTCACACCCTAAAGCCGTCCCCTGACTCCTCATTATGGGCCGCAACACAATGGGAGGGATTTCAGGGTCGCACCCTCCTCCTCCTCTTCCTCCTCCTTCTCCTCCTGTTACATGGTGCAGTCTTCCTCTTCCTCCTCCTCCTGGTTTGGCCCCAGGAATGAATATCTACAGTCTGGGATTCTATTGTCTGGACACTGAAGCGCAAAAGGCAGAAGCCTGAAGACTGAATATATTAAATGCTTTTCTTTGCGGAGAATTGAACAGGTGTTCAATGAGAAACTCCAAGATTAAATCAGTTTTATGAAAATGTAAAAAACTCTAATAGTTTCCAGTAAAGTTGTATTTACCAGGTTTGTAAAACTGCCTGTTCTGATGTGGCATTGAGATATTCAAGAATAAAACTTTTTTTTTCCTGCTTGATGCCTCACTGTGTGCATGAGACATGAGGAAAAGGTTTCACAAACATGACGAGTTGGAGTTGAGCAAAATAATATGTTCTGATCTTTACCATCTTAAGTTAGCCGTAAACAGTTAGCATGACTAAAATGTACATTTTTCCTGTCATGTTTGGTTGTGAAGTAAAAAGATCCAAATGCAGGAAAAGAGAGCGCAGAATTAATTTGATGGGAATAAAAGTTAATTATATGACTAATCAAGAGGAAAACATACAGAACAGTTGGATCTGAAGTGGAAGTGGCACAAATTCAGAGACATTTGGATTTTTTGGAGTAAAAACATCAGAACTGAGTCGTTCAAACTGCAGTGAAAAAGTTGGATACGGGTCACATGCTGCCTACCTGGAAATACTAAAGTCCTGCTGTGTTTTTGTAACGTTTGTGATCAATTCAGTCATTGTGGAGGTGATGCTGTGGGCAGGAAGGACCTCCATTAGCAGTCAATGTTGTACAAATCTAAAAAGGCTTCTGACTGAAGACTATCACTGTATGGCAGTCTCGTGCTAGCATGCTAACATGCTAACAGCTCGATGTCCAGGGAATAGAGACAGTGACACTGTCCACAGTAACATGTTATGAACGTCACCATCAGGTGTTACGCCAGCTCTGCTAATCCACCTCCTTTGTTTTTGCCGCTCCTCTTTAAATCTCTATCTGACCATTTGAGCTTTTGAAATGCTAATCAGCTTGACCCTGTTGTCACGGTTACTCATCACAACTCTCCAAAAGTAAAACAGTAAAACAAAACATTCCTTTCAGCTAATAATTATAAAGTTTGATTTAACCATCAAACTTCCATCAGTTTGTTGTGCATGAAGCTGAAACATCCTGAGGCTCTTGGTGTGTCAGCAGCGCTGCACGTCCATCACTGTCACTGTGTGTGATTGTCTGTAAGTGCACAGGAAGTGTGTCTGTTCTAAAACCATCTGCTGCTCGTTAGGAGCCCTCCCCGGATGAGTGGCTCATGATTCATTGTCTCTAACTGGGACATCCTGTCTCTCCGTGTCTCCATCTGGCTCCAGCTCTGCATTTCCAGCCTTTGAGTTCAGAGCAAGATTTACAAAATTTGAATCAAAAACTGTGGAAAAAAAACTCACTCATTACTTTTGCTTCAGTGCTACTATATTTGTTTGGAAGCAGCAGTCAAGGCAGAAACTCCCACAACTCGTCCTGAGACGTCCTTTCCTTCCTCTTCTGCCAGATTTCTCGTGTCCCTCCTCCTGCTGTTGTTCTGTTTTGTTCTGGTCCGATGTGGGAGTCCGGCTCGTTCCGTTTCCCCGCTTTGAATTAATCAGCAGAGCTTTTCTAATTGTTCACACGCTGCTCCTTTCTTAATCAAGTCCTTCACTGCAATCACAGTGCTGCTCTCTGGAGAGCGAAGGGCGAGACAATCTGAAGGACAAGAGGAAAAACTGGAGAACAATAATAATGATAATGATGATAATAATGATGATAATAATAATGATAATAATAATGATGATAATAATAATAATAATAATGATGATAATGATGATAATAATAATAATGATAATAATAATGATGATAATAATAATAATGATAATGATAATGATGATAATAATAATAATAATAATAATAATAATAATAATAATAATAATAATAATGATAATAATGATGATAATAATGATAATAATAATGATGATAATAATAATAATGATAATGATAATGATAATGACAATAATAATAATGATAATGATGATAATAATAATGATAATAATGATGATGATAATAATGATGATAATAATAATGATGATAATAATAATAATGATAATAATAATGATGATAATAATAATAATGATAATGATAATAATAATGATGATAATAATAATGATGATAATAATAATAATAATGATGATGATAATAATAATAATAATAATAATAATAATAATAATAATAATGATAATAATAATGATGATAATAAGAATAATAACAATAATAATGATAATAATAACGATGATAATAATAATAATGATAATGATAATAATAATGATGATAATAAGAATAATAACAATAATAATGATAATAATAATGATGATAATAATAATAATGATAATGATAATAATAATGACGATAATAATAATGATAATAACAACGATGATAATAATAATAATCAAGCTGTTGTTTGTTTTGTTTACATTTTTGCGCATCACTGGCTTTTCCTCATTAAAGTGGACGTTGTGCAGGTTGTTTATGCCTGAAGGCTTGAATGTTCTGTGTTTGCATTTGTTTCAGTTGACTGATTATTGCTCATATTATTTCATACGCTAACTCTCACTTTGTGTTTCAAGGGCAAAACAAAATGTTCTGTTGAAGTTAAATGTCCTGTGGAGACGTCCGCCTCTGTCTGCATCAGTCTTTGCTCTAAACCTGGACAAAAGTCCTGATCCAGAGTTTTAGGGTGTTATATGCAGCTGCTCAGTTGGGGACAAACTTCGGCTAATCACTTACGTTAGCATTTTAGCAAAATTGAAAACTGTTTATCACATTTTTCTTCCTCTAAATTAATTTTCCAGATAAATTCTAAAGCTCTAATTTACTTGACTGTTTTATAAACTTCCATGCAAACATCCTGTCCTGTGCCTGTGAGTGGAGCCCCCTAGTGGTCTGCTGCAGTGTAATATTTAGAGATTTCTCCAGGTTTTGCTTTTTTATCTCACACTTAAATGTTTTATATCATCAAAAACTTCTGATATCAGGCTGAGATGATGTGAGTGAATAGTCAAAGCAGTTTTTGTGAGCTGCTTTCTGTTTCTCTGATCAGTCAGAGATCATAAAGTTAAACAGAGAAATTCCTCAACAGATCCTGTCTGACATCATGACACCTGCAAAGCCATCCATTCATTTTCCAACAGTGAGGAGAAATTATTTGTAATCACTTTAGTGACTAAACATTCACTGAATAGGAGAAAAATATTCTCCAACATGAATAATTCAGATTTCTTGAACAAAAGTGAAACAGAAAACTGATCCGATATGGAAGGAAAAAATATGACAGTGGTTTCATGTCTAATGGAAAATAATGGAAACTCATATCTCATAAATGATTCATAATGACCAGAGAAGAGGATGTTTATTGGAAGGAGGGGTTCAGTTATAATCTCCTTGATACAGTTTTCTCTGTTTATTATGCAGGCTGCCTTATTAGTCAGAATCTGCACCCTAAAGCCTTCCAGTATTTCTGACCTTGAATTGTTTACAGTTTCACATCATGTGTTCATTTGGAGCATAAAAAACTCCAGACGAAGCCGCATCGATTGATCGAGGCCAGCGGCTCCACGGCCCGGTTCTGCTGAGGCGCTGAGAACAGGGAGGGGTCAGAGTGCTGACCCCTCCCTGGCTGCTGCTGCTTCACAGAGAAATCCATTTTATACTCATGAAACTCGACTGCAGCCAGAAAACATTCTTAGAATAAAGGAGGATAAAAAGCAGAACCTCAAACTTTATTTATTTATGTTTCAGTTTTGGTATTTTTTGCACATAAAAGCTGTTTGTTTGTATTTTTCCTCTGATGCTGATCTGGATCATTTAATCAGTTTTTCTTTATTATGTGTTTGGGTTAAAGAACATTAATTTATTGTGGAAATGCTGAGAAAATCCTTTATTTATTTTGATTCTTTAATTTTAAGAAAGATTGAATGATTGGTTTTGATGGAAATACATTTTTGTTTTTTAGAATAAATATATCCTACTAAAGACTTTGCATTTTTAACTTTCATTTACTAAAATGTTTTTTATATACAATAGTAAGTACCTTATTTAATTTTCTTCATTTATCTCAAAACTATTTACACTATTTCTGTAAAGGTTTAATGTTTAAGGCTATTGGTGAATTTATTGCTTGTCACCTCCTGCAGATACAGAGAAAACAAACATTCATGAATTAAAATGTTAAAAATTAATTAAAACTATTTTGTTTGTTTGGAAGGTTTTCAAACTGCTGCTGCATTGATCATTTTTGAGATCAGTTAATGAACATGATGGATTAAGTTGAGCTTTTCTCTCCTTCCCTCTCGATCCTTTCGCCTCGGCGTTTATGTGGGACGTTTTGACGGTGGAGCGTTTTCAGCTCCGTTCTTTTTAGTGACGAAGCGGCGCCTCCACGGTTGGCAGCGTTTGTTCTGTTGGTGCCTGCTTTGGTTTCCTCAATCAAGCCTCGGCGCCTTCAGTCAGCTTCCCGTGATGTGAAAACCTGTGTCAGGAAAATGGGAACAGTGTATCTATTGATCAGTGAAACATCAGCCGCCATGGACGGCCCAACAGGTCGACCATGTTGGCGACGGCCGTGGTTTCACCTGGCGGCCAGGCGGAGCCGCAGGTCCATCACGTGGTTTCTGTCTCTCCAGGCGTTCGGTCAGGCCTACACCAACCAGCGCAAGGTGGCAGAGGATGGAGAGACCATTGAGGAGACGCTGCTGCAGGAGTCAGCCTCCAAGGAGGCGTATTACATGGGCCGGCTGCTGGAGCTGCAGACGGAGGTGACGCTGAGCCGCTCGGTGGCGTCCAACGCTCAGGCGGAGAGCGAGAGGCTCAACGCGCTTCTGCAGGAGCTGCGAGAGGTGAGCCTGACTAACGGCACATTTATTTTCATTTTGTGAGGTAACTGGTTGACCTTTCATGACCTCTGGAAACATTTACTGATATTTTTAAAATGATAGCGGCACAAATGAATATTTCTACTGAGCAAACGTTTAGCGCAGTTTGGTGAAGGTTCAGAGCTTCGGCAGGTTCAGGCTGTCTGCCTCAGTCAGGCGCAGATATGGAAGTGGACAGTTTTCACCACACACCATCAGTTAAACAAACATTAACAACAATAATTTGGATTATTTAGTCCATCATAAGAGAAAAATATGGGCTAACTGCATTTGCTAATTTCATTTGCTAAATAAAATGAATGTTTTCATTTTATATAATGAAAATATTCTCTCTAAAAAGAGTTAAATATTCCTTTTTTTAATTTTTACATCATGAATTTAAATTCTCTGACATTTCTTCAAACAAATTGTATATTTAGATTTTTTTTTTTTAATAGATCTGCAAAGGAAATCAAATAAATATCTGTTTTTCCTTCTGATTTTATATATTTTACATATTTCATATGCATATGTGTTTTATGTTAAAACAAACCATGAGATCTTTGTTAAACCAATTGGGCCAAAACGTTGCCAAAGGTCAAGAGGTCATGCGGACAAACGTTCCAACCTTTGTCACAGAGGAAACGTGATGCATGCTCGTCCCTCCAAAAGCCAACATGGCTGCAGGCGCAGCGTGGGGGGGTCAGGAGTTCGAGCAGGGGTCAGACGCCACGGCAACCACTCCATTGTGGGGGACAAATCCGGCGCTAAGCTGGGAATCAGTGAAATGCCCTGAGCTCGGCACTGTGCAACGACTGGGCCAACTGGGACGCTCCCATTAAATACACCTCACTCATTCACTCAATGGATCAGAACTGCTGCTGCCAACAACCACTGCAGTTCCCTCCACACAGATTTCCCCTCATTCAGTGAATCCATTTAAATTAAACTGCAGCAGCAGACGACTGTCAGCGCACATCATGTGAAGCTGCACTTCATCAACTTTATCACTGCAGATGAAAAGATGCTCTGCTCAGTGGAAGCATCATGCTGAGGGGCTGTTTCTCAAACTGGTCCACTTCTTAAAACAGGCGGCATTATGAGGAAAAAACATTCTGTAGAAATATTCAAGAAACATCTAAATACATCAACCAGGAAGACAAACTGCAGACGGACGATGAGCCTCAATGTGCAGGTTAGAAAGGAGCTTCAGCTCAACCAGTTCAATGTTTTGGTATTTATTAAATATAAATATTTTGGTTGTTTCGAACTGCCCTGAAAAAGGACAAGTTTGACTTGAACATGTTTGGTTTGGTGTATGTAAACTTCTGGTTTTTACTGTAGATACATTATGGATTTTCTAATCACGTCTCTGCACTATAAATGTGTTCAGGCCCCTCACTCTGACTGTGGATCAGCATTTCTGCCTGACTTTATGCACAGAGGGCTGCAGGGCAGCTGCAGGCAGCTCTGCAGCAAAACCTGAAGCTCACATATTCTGAAGAAGTTCTTTCTTTTTTGCTTTTCTTTACATAAAATCCATCAAAAGTTGCATGTTAGAATACATGTTCAGCAATATTTCAGTAAAAATGAATTTGCTGCCTTCAGCTTTAATTGTTTATCTACAGATGAGTGTTTAGTCAACGTGCTTTTGATTTTACTGATATCAACATGTACAACAAGTAGGGTTGGGTTTTTATTGTTATCTCAACAGTGCGGAAAAATATTGTGATAAAATATGGGGTTAGGGTTAGGGTTTAGGGGTTAGGGTTAGGGTTAGCCCTAACAATAAGGCTGGAAATGTAGTTTTTTGGAAAGTTTGTTTTCCTTCATTCTTTTACTGAACCAGAGTGAACTTTGACCCCCAAACGTCTTCAAATCAGACGCAGCTGCTGTCAAATGTTTCTGCAGTGATATTTTTGTTTGCTGCTTTTGCTTTGAAGATAATAAAGGTTAAAAGGTTAAAAGGTCAGCCAGCTCTTCCATAATACCCAAATCTAACAAAATTGGTCAAATGTTTGTGTAGTAAAAAAAATTACTTTGTGCATCAATGGCACCAATTTTGTAAGATTTGAACTTCAGTCAGGTTCTTAATCAGGTCTTGACTATTAAACTGTCTCTTCTGTCCCTCCTCTGTCTCTGCCTTCCTCTCTCGTTCCGGTTCTGGTTCTGGTTCTGGTTCTGGTTCTGGTTCCGGTTCCGGTTCTGGTTCTGGTGCTCCTGCAGAGCAACGAGATGCTGGACCTGCAGCGCAGCAGGATGAGGGAGGAGATCAAGGAGTATAAGTTCAGGGAGACGCGTCTCCTCCAGGATTACAGCGAGCTGGAGGAGGAGAACATCACCCTGCAGAAGCTGGTCTCCACGCTCAAGCAGAGCCAGGTCACAAAGATGATCATCAACACTTTGTTCTCCTATTGGGTTAGAGTTTGCACGTCATTACGGTGTTACTTTTCACCCACTCATGACATGTATGCGTTCTCACTTTACCCGCCACGAGGAAACGTGATCCTGGCCGACCGGTCATCAGTTTGGAGAAGAAGCTGCTGCTTTGTCTTAGTTACTCTGGTCTCACTCTGCTGATCCTCCACCTGATCACATCCTTTCTGTCTCATGCATGTTTTATGTAAGACCGGAGGTCTGCGTTAATTCAACAGGAAACACAATTCATTCGGATTTCATAATAAAAGCACAAACTTAGAGAAACTCTGGTTCCTCAAAGTTTCTGTTCAGGCTGGAAAATTCTGTTCATCCATCTGTTCATCCATCCATCCATCTGTTCATCCATCCATCTGTTCATCCATCCATCCATTCATCCATCTGTTCATCCATCTGTTCATCCATCTGTTCATCCATCCATCCATCTGTTCATCCATCCATCTGTTCATCCATCCATCCATTCATCCATCTGTTCATTCATCCATCTGTTCATCCATCTGTTCATCCATCCATCTGTTCATCCATCTGTTGTTCCATCTGTTCATCCATCCATCCATCCATTCATCCATCTGTTCATCCATCTGTTCATCCATCCATCTGTTCATCCATCTGTTCATCCATTTCTTTAAATTCATTAGGATTTTGAGTAATTAAGTTTTTGCAAAATTTTTAAAGTTTTTTTATTCTAGAACATGTGAAATTTTAACAAAAAGGTAGAAAACTAACTTCTGGTCAGAGTGACTGGGAACCCACCAGTAGGTCCAGTTGACACCAGTGGGTCCAGTTGAGTGACTGGGAACCCACCATTGGGTCCAGTTGAGTGACTGGGAACCCACCATTGGGTCCAGTTGAGTGACTGGGAACCCACCAGTGGTCCAGTTGAGTGACTGGGAACCCACTAGTGGGTCCAGTTGAGTGACTGCTGTCCTTCCTGCTGCGCTGCAGGTGGAGTATGAGGGGCTGAAACACGAAATCAAAGTCCTGGAGGAGGAGACGGTTCTCCTGAACAGCCAGCTGGAGGACGCGCTGCGTCTGAAGGACATCTCTGAGGGCCAGCTGGAGGAAGCGCTGGACGCCCTGAAGACGGAGCGCGAGCAGAAGAACAACCTGAGGAAGGAGCTGGCCCACCACATCAGCCTGAGCGACAGCGTGTACGGGGCCGGGGCCCACCTGGCGCTCACCGTCACCGGCGTCGAGGGCCTCAAGTTCACCGAGGAGACCGGCAGCGGCAACGTTCCCAACGGCGGCGCCATCCCTGCTGCCAACGGCAACATGGAGGACAGCAACCGCTGCAACGGCCACCTGCACCACGGCCCCGTCCTGGCCAAGGCCGGCGGGACTACCGCGCCGGCAGGAAGGCGGACGGCCTGGTGCCGGACCTGTTCAGTGAGCTCAACCTGTCCGAGATGCAGAAGCTGAAGCAGCAGCTGCTGCAGGTGAGTCATGTGACTTTCAATGATGGAGTTCTGCTGAGGCAGACCAGAGGGACATGAGTCCATCATTTACAACATTATAGTCCAGACAACAAGCTGATAGAATAACTAATCTGGCTTTTCACCGATTCATAATCTGATCAATCATACTTTATTACATCAACATAACGGCTTATTAGGACTTCAGGACAAAAAAGACGAGTAAAACTGTGAGAAAAACTCAGAGATTTGGAAATTAATTTTAGAAATATAAAAAAAAACAAGGAAATTTTTGATCTCCAAAAGCAAAATATTTGCTAGAAAACAAACTAATTTTGAGATTGTACAGAATTTTCTTCTTCCTTTGCGTTTATAATTGAATAAGCCTTTCTTCTAATGGCCATTGTTCTTCCTGCTGTTATATAAGATCTTCATGAGGTTTTTTCCATGTATCTTAATATCTTGTTGTGAAATAACTGAAGTTTTGTCTTTTTCTTCAAGATGGAAATGCATCACAAACCTGTGATTTAAACAGAGACTTTCCAATGGAAAGAGAAAACAATCCATCCAAACGATTTGGATTGTTAATATCACAGGGCAATGAATCATTGACAGTTTTGATTGTGTCTATTTTCAAACTAAACCAAACAGACATAAACCTGCAGTGAATAAATCGATTTTCAGTTTTTGCTTGAAGAAATTTTGAGATCAATTTTAGGGATTTTCTGGAAAAGGTGTAGATAGATAATTTTCAACTTTGGGAAATTCAAATGTGAAAATTTTATGACATTTTTAGCTCAGAACTGTTCATGTTTTGTCTAGAAAATTTCTGAGATTAATCTGGAAATTTTTGAAATTATTCTTGCACATTTTTGACTTTTTGAACCGAGAAATTTCCAAATTTTTCTAGATAATTTCTGAATTGTATCTAAAAATGTCAGTGTTTTGTGTGGTAAATTTCCTCCTTCTGTTGTCTGCCACGGCTCCATCACGCCGTCTCACGTCCACCTGTCCAGTAACTGCAGCTGCAGATCAGCATCTTTTGCTATAACCAGACATCTTAAAAATGATGAAATGCTGTACTTTGCCTCTGTGCAAATAAACAGCACAACAGTAAGGAAGTAATTCATTTAACAAGACAAGTGTAGCTGTGACAAACAAAGGAAATAAAAAGGTAAAAACAAAGAACTGCAGTCAATATTTCAGATTGAACAACAAATTATTTATTGTTACACATTTTTAGCATTTCAGAAGTTCTAACTTTTCCTTCTGCACCTCCGTCCTGCAGGTGGAGCGTGAGAAGGCGGGTCTGCTGATGACCCTGCAGGAGTCGCAGACCCAGCTGCAGCACACGCAGGGCGCCCTGACCGAGCAGAACGAGCGCGTCCATCGCCTCACCGAACACGTCAACGCCCTCAAACACCTGAACGCCGACAAGGAGCTGGACGACCCGCAGGAGAGCGAGAAGCCCGACGGCGGCTCCCCGTCGCCGTCGTCCAACGGCCGCCTCGACCCAGACATCCACGGGTTTGAGATCCTGGAGTGTAAGTACAAGGTGGCGGTGACGGAGGTGATCGACCTGAAGGCCGAGCTCAAAGTCTTAAAGGAGAAGTACAACCAGGCGGTGGAGGGCCAGGGAGACTGCCACAACGACGACCGGGTCCAGGCGCTGACTGAGCAGGTTCGCTTCCTCAGACTCACACTGACTTCTCAAATCTGATCAAATAATCTCCACTTCTGCCGGAGCTGGTTCTGCTGCCTGAAGAAAATAAACAGGAAAAAATACTGCAGCCATAATTAGAACCGCAGCATAAAGCCAAACATGCCACAATTAAATGAATCAAAAGCATCAGGGGGACTGACACAGGGCCACCGGAGGACTCCAGGTAGATTCCAGGTGGATTCCAGGTAGATTCCAGGTGGATTCCAGGTAGATTCAAGGTAGATTCCAGAGAAGCGGCCGTTCTTGCAGGGCCAGCTCTAGATAATATGGCGCCTTAGACAGACCCCCCCCTCCCCAACCTTATTTAAATATTGATAAGGTGAATCTGTCAGAGGAAGATCAGGTTTATTGGCTGAGTTTAAAATCATTCATTGATTATTGGTTATTTGCTGTGATGTATTTGTGAACAAACCCAATTTTTAAACACAAACATTACATCATATTTTAATGTGATGTAACACATCACATTACAACATAACACATATGTTACATAACACATATTGTAATGTGATGATCAAGATGATTCTTTAAAGTTTTACAAAGTAAACGTCCTAATTGAATCCTAAATCTGATTGTATTTTAATGTGATGCATATAAATAATCACCATTCTGATGTTGCAGAAGAAGTTCCCCATCATCTCACAGGTTTCTTAATGAAACGCAGGTTTCCCATTTGGAGCGGAGCTACCGGGACAGCCGGGAGCGCGTGGCCGGGCTGGAGGCCGAGCTGCGCGCCGCATCAAACACGGCGACGGAGAGCCAGAGCATGCTGAACGCAGCGCAGGACGAGCTGGTGACCTTCAGCGAGGAGCTGGCGCAGCTCTACCACCACGTCTGCCTCTGCAACAACGAGACGCCCAACCGCGTCATGCTGGATTACTACCGGCAGAGTCGCATCACCCGCAGCGGCAGCCTGAAGGGCCCCGAGGATCCGCGGGCGCTCCTGTCTCCCCGCCTGGCGCGCCGCCTCGCCGCCGCGTCCGCGGCCTGCTCGTCCGACTCCCCGCGCAGCCCAATGGACTCGCCGTCCAGAGACGCCCACCACAGCAACGCGGCGGGCAACGTGGCGGACTCGTCGTCCTGCCACAGCAGCCCCATCCACAACATCAGCGGCTCGCCCTCCATCAGCATATCCCGCTGCCGTCTCCGGTGCCGTCGGATGCGGGCGGCGACCTGCGGAGGGAGCCGATGAACATCTACAACCTGAACGCCATCATCCGAGACCAGATCAAGCATCTGCAGCGGGCCGTGGACCGCTCGCTGCAGCTGTCCCGGCAGAGAGCTGCAGCCAGGGAGATGGCCACCATGCTGGACAAGGACAAGGAGTCATGCATGGAGGAAATCCTGAAGCTCAAGTCGCTGCTCAGCACCAAGAGGGAGCAGATCGCCACGCTGCGGCTCGTCCTCAAGGCCAATAAACAGGTCAAATCCTTCAGTTATTAAAGCGAAGCAGTTTTGATCAAAAGCTGTTAAACAGACGTTTTTAAAGTGGTTTATTGTCAATCAAAGCACATTTCTGCAACATGCAAAGTGCTGAAAACATCAGAGAGTCAACAATCAACAAAACAACAGAAACAGATGGTGAACAAATCACTGTTAAAATCATCAATAAACATCAATTATGTTGATCAACATTTATTATGGTTCGAAAGCAACATGTGGGATTTAGATCAAAACAAACTCAGTGTTTCAGCTGTTCTGCTGTTTTCTGGAAGTTTGTTCCAGATGACGTGTTTTCAGGCACATAGTTCCATTTTATAGCATAATTACCTTCAGTTGTTGTAAAATTGATTTTCATATGAAATATAACTTTTAAAAATTGGACTTGAAGTTGGGTCTTTGTCTCTTTAAAAACTCCTGCTCTTCCTGAAACTCCGCCTTCAGGAAGTCATCCCAACATGGCTCCTCTATTAAAACCCTCCTGTTGTCTTCGGATCATTTTGACCCGAAGACAACAGGAGGTTATTCTTATTTTTTTCGTCAAGTTCACATTTTGCTCCAGCAGAAAATTCATCTGAGTTGTGAACACTGTAGGTCTGATTCAGGACTGTTAGATTTCAAGTTGCTGTATGCAGTTGCAATTAAAAAAATGTTTTATAAGGGCTTGTCCTCGGGTCATGTCAACCCGAGGGCAACAGGAGGGGGGGGAAATTTGAAAAGATATCAGTTTTACGGAGATCAATGATGCCATTCCATACTGTTTGACTGTCCAGCTGTGATTTCCTTAGTCTTCCGGTCAGTCTGACCTGAGGCCTGGGTTTGGTTATCTTTATTTCTTTTGTAAAGTTTACATTTGAATTGCTTGAGCCTAAACTTCCCCCTGAGTTGTGCACACCGTAGTTCTGATGCAGGACTGTTAGATTAAAGTTTCTGTATGCAGCTGCAATTGAAAAACATATTTTTTAAGGGCTTGTCCTCGGTCGACATGAGCCGAGGACAACAGGAGGGTTAACCCTTTAACAACATTTTTACCAGTATTTCACTGAGAAGTAGTTCCTTTAATGAGTAATCATGTGTTTGCTAATTGCTGCTGGCTACTCTGAAGGAGCTGCATGAAGCAAAGCTGCTCTGTGAGGCAGAAGCTCAGAACCCGCAGCTCTAAGGAGGAGTTGCACCTCGAAGGCGGAGGTTATTCTTCGTCCACCCAGCCGTTTGCACAGCCGACTGTTTGCAAGTTAGAATCACTGAGTTCAACAAATTCTTCAGTGAAATTTATAGTTAAATATTCGTTCTTGCAGACAGCAGAAAATGCCTTGGCTAACCTGAAGAGCAAATATGAGAATGAAAAGTCAGTGGTGACAGAGACCATGATGAAGCTGAGGAACGAACTGAAAGCTCTGAAGGAAGACGCTGCCACCTTCTCCTCTCTCAGAGCCATGTTCGCCACGAGGTGAGGAACTCCAGCAGAGGAATGTCTTCCCCTGGCCTGCTGGGACCAAACTGGGACCAAACTGGGACCAAACCTCCTCACCTTCTGTCTGTCTGCAGGTGTGATGAGTATGTCACCCAGCTGGACGAGATGCAGAGGCAGCTGGCTGCAGCAGAGGACGAGAAGAAGACGCTCAACTCCCTCCTCAGGATGGCGATCCAGCAGAAACTGGCCCTGACGCAGCGCCTGGAGGACCTGGAGTTCGACCACGAGCAGATTCACCGCGGCCGCGGCGCCAAAGTGCCCAAGATAAAAAGCAGCCCACCCAAAGTAAGTCATGTGTTCAATTTCACCCCACAGGGGATGAAATTAAAGACTCTGATTTGCAGCTGAGGGTCAGTTCTGTTATGATTACCTCTCTGAACACAGAGGTAAAGCCGAACCTCAGTGGTGAGCTCCGCCAGCCACAAAGTTAGCTGCGCTTTACAAACTTTACAAAACATCCAAGTAATTTAGCACCTCAGAATCCATCTGGAAGAATGTATTCATCGGAAGCTAAGTGGCATCAAAAAAAGTTTGCAAAAATGCTAAAAGAGATGTTACCTGTGATTTCTGGATTAGTGACTAGATGTTTTTTAAAGGAATCATCAGGAAGGCCATCTTGCCTCCTTATTGTTAGGCTAAGTTAGAACATCAGACTTGCAGCAAAAATGTGATTCTACAAAGTATCAACTCAGGAAAAGAAAAAGATTTCAAACCATGACGCGTTTCTTTCAACTTCACAGTTTATACTTTATTGTAATGGGACAAATATGAGGAAGTTCATATGGTATGAAGAAGTTTCTCATCTTAACCTTCAGTATTTTCCACATGTCAGTATTTTCAGCTTAAAGTGTTGTTCTCTATTTTCATACTAAATATTTCAAAACATGACAACCAGGAACCAGAAACGGCTGCAGAAGCAGTTTATGTTTTGTGACTCACAGCACCTCCTTGTGGAATATTAGGAACTAACAACAGATACAATTTATCTCACATCAACATAAATTATATTAATTATAATTACCATGTGTTTCATGGCTCATCTGCTGTTTTGAGGACTCCTGTCTATTCTGATCCAGAGTAATAAATCTCCACCACTAGATGGCAGCGTTGGACTGTGTCTTCTTCATGTGTTTCGTTCCAAAGCAGAATCAGTTGTTTGTGTGCCAGTAACTGGTTCCAGTTCATGCTGATGCTTTTTCAAGCAGCAGTTGTTTCATAAATGTTTGAATGTGAACTAATCCTCCTGTTTTGATTTTGTTCTCTAACCTCAAGTGTCACCACTCTATATATTTGTCTAATTTATCAGTTTTTTGTAGATTGTCAGCAGCCTTCTGCCTCAGTATCGACATTCTCCCCACAACTAAGGCGAGGGAGAGCCTCGTTGGCCCGCAGGTAACCAGCTAGAGAACCTGCTGACCTCTTCACACCTCTGCATCCAGACAATTGGTCCTGCATGTTCTCTGTAGTCACACTTCTGCCACGTTATGAATAAAACACCTTTCATTCCAGGGTTGAAGATTTTCTCTCTTTGCATGTGTAATTTTGCATGGCACTTCTCTTTAAATGCTTACTTTTTCACTTGGAGTTTGGACTCAACAGTCTACATTTGTCCAGAAACTAAATTTACTCATTTGTGATGTTTAAAACAGTGATGGGAACCTTTGGCTCTTCCATTCACCACTCGATTCTGAGTTTTGATTTTCAAAACAATTATTCATGAATTACACTAATTTCTGATCCTCATCATCTACTCCAGTCTGTTTGCAAGGAAGAAAGACAAATGAAGACATTAGCATTCTTTTTCACATTTATTACATTTTAAATATTAACCCATGTTTAGACGCAATCACTCCTTTCCTGCATCTTTTGTTTTGTTACAAAGAGACAGTCTGCAGACCGTCTCTTCCGAGAACAACAGCGTTGCAATTTCCAGGAATTTTTAGCCATTTGACAGTTTTTTAATAGTTACCTCCTGATCAGTGCTCCACATTCATGTCGCCTCTGCAGATACAAAAACCAGACAGACTTCCTGAGAATTCGATAAAAACCAAAATGTTTTCCTCCAGCGAAGACGGAGCCGGTTGAATCTCTCTTTTTGTAGTGTTCTCTATATTGTGCTGCTTCCTGTTTAGTTACAAAACGAAGGACAACGGACAGCAAATTACAAAAATATATACATTGGTTCTAAATCACCTTTATTTGTTTTAGAACAGAAACAAACTGTAGTTTGTTCTGAATCTGCATTAAGTTGCTCTGAGTCAAAACTTTGGAGAACCAGATTTTAAATGGTCATTTTTGGGGCGTGTGCTTTCTAAGGTCATCCTGCTGGAAGGTCAACTTTGACCCTAGGAGAGCTATAGAGGTCAGCCGAAGTTAAACAGCTTGAATACTTTCTTTAGATTTTCATTTCCAAAGTAAACAGCAAACCTTGTATGAATTTGTCTTCATGTCTTCGGGGTCTGAATGCTTCTCTGAGGTTCTGTCTTTATGCTTCAGGTTTGGTTTATTTTCAGCATTTTGTGCAGATTTTTGTGAATAATCTGCAGACGTTGCACAGTCAGACTCTGATTTTCGTTTTGCTCAGCAAACCCAGCTGATGCCAGTAATTTTGTTTTCTGCAAGCAAACTAACTCTTTACAGGAAAGCTAAACTCTTTTTCCCTAAATGTTTCAATTTTCCTCCTTTTGTAAATATGTGTCACATTTTGCTGTTTTTATCCGTTTTTTGCTCACTAGAAGTTTTTCTTGTTTGTTTGTTTTTTTTCAGTCGTAAATTTCTGGAATACCAAGCGGTCTTGTCCAGCAGTCGCAGCCTTCTCTCGCCGTGCGACCCGCGTAGCTGCATGGCCCACCAGCCTCAACCCCCCGGCACCTAGCCCCGCCCCCGGCACCTAGCCCCGCCCCCGGCCCGCCCGTAGGAGCCATGCAGAGGCAAACACGCCCTGGATGAGGGAGGGGCCTCCTCTTCCCTCACTGGACTCTGTCCCCCACCCCGGCCGGGCCCGGTCCGGTTCTGGCCCGTTCTAGCCGGTTTCTGACCTGGTTCTAGCCGGGTTCTGTTGGGCCTCCCGGCTATCTGGGTCGTAGAAGAGACGCAGGATGCGCTCCCCGTCTTCTGGGTGCGACTTCCTGCAGGACTGACCGGCAGAAATGCTGCTGACGCTGAACTGGAATCTTTCCATTAGTTCACTGTTATTTATTAATAATTTATTGACTATTTATTATTTACGGGATTTAATAATGGTTGTATGTTTTTCTTCTGTATTATGTTTTTTATAAGAATTCATTCCTGCTGTGGAGTCGAAGTAATCGGTTTCACAGATTCACTTTTTTGTTCTTCCATCAAAAATTCAACAAAAATAAACGTTTGATTTGGACGTTTTCTAGAAAAAAGCGTATCTAGTTAATCCATATAGAATTTTGTGAGAATAACAACCAAATAAATCATGTATGGAGTTTTTTTTACACAGTAGCTCTGAGACACTTTGGCTCGGCGGTTCCAGGGAACTAATAACAAGAAAAGGTTTCGTGTTTGTGACTTTTGATTCCAGCTGTTTTTCTTTCACAGGTTTTTCTTGCGATGCTTATTTATGAATTATTTTGACATTTTTAAGTTAGGTACACAAAGACTGTTTTATATCACTCCTTGTTTATTTATGACACATTTTTTACAGTGGGTCCTGGTGATGCTTGCAGCTCAGCTCTCAGAAACTGAGTGGATTTGTTCAGGCTTTTTGAGCTGCTTTTCATTTTGAATTGCACAAGTTGAAATGAAGGTCTCTGTTATCTACTCTGTATTTTCCTCGTTGAGTATTTTCGGACTTTCTCGCTGCGGTAGAAAGCTCTCATGCTACTGATTCTTTTCCTCATTGTGACACAGAGAGAAAAAACTTTGGGGTCCATTTTTAGAGTCAAATATTACCAGCATGTTTTCATCATGTTATATATTCATTTATAAATGTCAGTTACTTAGCAAGCTAAATGTTCAGCCCAAAACTAACCATTTAGCTCTGAGCTAGCTTCATATTTAGTTTAAAATTAAATAGCTTGGTAACAAAATATTTAGTTTTACATTAAATGGGTACCTTACTTACTGAGTTTTTTAAAGCTAAATATTTAGTTTAGTTTTAATTTAAATATTCACCTTGATCACTACATATTTAGATCCAAGCTAAAGAATTTACTTAATATTTAGCTTGGAGCTAATTATATCAACCAAATAATTAGCTTGCCAAATAATATTAACATTTATAAATGAATGAATAACATGGTGAGAATATGACTGTTCAGTGAACTGCCATGTTTTTCTCTTCTGACAGGCTAAATAAATCTAATAATTGCGTTAATTTTTGACAGTAAGTTTAAAAGCTGCCCCTCGTGTTGCCGTCTCCCTTTGCTTCCCCAGACAGGATGCAGTACAGCACAAGCACAATTCTGCACTATGCATTTGAGCAATACAGCAGCAGCAGCAGCAGCAGCAATCACAGGCTGCAGCAATCACAGGCTGATCTGGGGGAAACCTTTCTGTCATTAAACTGTGTGGGAAGGTTAAAGCAACAGAGAGTTCCAGATAAGAAAGAAATTAATTTTCTGTTACAAAACTAAAGCTTTGTCTCCTTTTGAGACGCAGAAAATGTGGCAACTGCAAGGAAAGTTTCATTTTTCTGCACCTTCCCAACATTCTCATGATTATTATGTCCTAAGTTAAATATTTCCAGCCTGATCCTCCACAGCCAGAGTTGGTGTGTTGGAGGAAACCATTGACTGGACATTGTTCACTTGTTCACCACAGATTGATACTTTTGCAACTCCAGAGTGATGAAGAGGCAGCAGCTGGATCTGTGCTGACTCGTTAAGAGAGAGAGACTAACCGGGTTCCTGGAAACAACAGGAACAGGAATGCTTGCAGTTTGCTGGGACATTGTGGGTTTTACAGTTTCTCCACCATTTGAAACAGTGTTAAACTGGATACACAAGCAAATAAAATATTTCTCCTTTGGTTCTGCCTTCCTGGTTATTTTCACCTGTAGAGAATGAGCTGATGTGGTCCAAGCACTAATATTTGACTCTAATATTTCCTCCACAAATAAATAAATAAATTACTCAAGTAAAGGAAAACGGTATAGCTCTTTATTGCTGAGCTCACAAAACTTCTATTTATTCAGTAATTTTTTTGAACTCAGAATGTTGACTGAAATTCTATTAATTACAGATCCAGCAATTAGATTTAAATTAAAACTGATCATCTAATACCTCCACTGGTTTATAAACCTGCTTTAAACTTCCAATATAAAAACAACTCTAACCTTAGATTTAGTTCAAACTGCAGAATAAAAGCTGAAGCTTTGATGAAGTTGTTGTGTTTCAGCAGAAAGCTGCAGACTCAGTAATTATTACTTCAATTATTTCTGTTGGAAAAATTCCCAAACAGAAACCAGTGGGGGCGGGGCGGGGCGGGCTCGGAGCGACACGCCCATCAAGGTGACTTTGGAGGGAGACCAGGACCGAGCCGGCCCGCTGGAAGGAACCGAGCTCCTCAGGCTGGCACCGGTTGGACCCGGACGGACCGCGGACGGACCGCGGACCAGTGAGCCGCCGCTGCTCGGAGTTGGATTTGCTGGGAAGAAGGAAGCGCGTTTCTGAAAACTTACTTTTATCTCCGGTGTTTGTTCGACCCTCCAGTGAAATCGGTCAGTCGGAATGATGGATGAGGGGAAAATGGAGAGCTTCAACCGGGTCGCCTTTCGCAGGAAGCAGCGCAGTCTGGACCTGGGCCCTCGACGGGCCACAGGTGGGTTCGTGTTCTTCTGCCTCTGCTCTGGCTTCATGTGTTTTAAACCAAGTGCATTTCTGAAATCCACCTAAATAAATCAGTTTTATCCCGTTGTTTGGCTGTAATGTTGGGTCGGCGCTCACGTGTTGTGTGATTGGGAAAGCTTGGAAACAGCTGCAGGCCTTGTTTAGCCATCATCACTGCTGTCAGAGGCGAGTCAGAGGCGAGTCCCAGCCTGCTGGCTGCACCGCTGGCTGCACCGCTGGCTGCACCGCTGGCTGCACCGCTGGCTGCACCGCTGGCTGCACCGCTGGCTGCACCGCTGGCTGCACCGCTGGCTGCAGGGCAACAATTTTCTCCCTTATAAAGGAGATGAACTGATCTGCTGGAGGAACACTGAGGGAACTGTTCCCACTCTGCTGTGTGCTCCAGCCTCAGTTATCAAAACTCCTCCAACAGTTTGCATCATTTCAAAGCTGTGATATATGGAGAGCTGCACAGTCAAAATGAGCTGCAACACTTTGGGTTATTTAGCCTGTCAGAAGACGAAAAACATTTCCACAACAAACTCAAAACAGTTAAAGAATGAGCTTCTTACAGCAATGCAGATGTTCAACAGTGACTATCTGCTAGTTGGAATTTATATGGAAGTTCTTAAGGACCAGCTTTTATTTTGACAGTCTGCTAAAGCATATCGCAAGTGAATTTGCATATTAGCTTAATATGCAGCTCAGAGGAAGCTAAATACTTCACTTGGAGCTAAATAGTTGGTGAACTAAATATGAGCTCTGAGCTAGTTCATTATTTAGCTAAATATTTAGCTTGCAAATAAAATGTTTGAAGCTGACAGTTATTAAGGTTATTTGTTTAAATATGAACTCATTTTTCTCTTCTGACAGGCTACATAACCCAAATGATTGGGTCATTTTTGACTGTTTTTGTCACCAACGGTGCTCCATATCATAACGGATCTTTGCAAACTGCGAACATGCAGCTGCATATTTAGTCAGATGTTCTCAGAACCCGCTCCATGTTCCGGCTGTTTGCTCTGTTTGGGCCTGTCTGTCTGAGGCAGGAAGAACTCACATAATTTGGTCTTATCTTGGAACTGCTACTTGTGTAAACACGCTGCTGGGGAGACTCAGCCACGCTCTCAGACAGACTTGAACTTTTCTCTGTGCTCGGTGGGGGCAATGTCCACACTAGGTAACACTTCAGCTCATATGATAGTGGTGGCGGTTTCATAAAGTCAGCTCCAGTCTCAGGTTATAAACTGGTTCAGGAAATGAGGTCGACTCTGGGTCACCCCCAGGTGACCCAGTCGCACCTTGAGTCATCCGATGTGAGCTTTCATCAGCATAGCTGCTGTTTTGCACCATTAGCATGTAATACACCTGCGTTCATGTTTTTATCTCTGGGAATACTTTATGATGACAAATTCAAAATAATGTGGCTGGAGTTTAAATGAACTATCATTTTTTACTCAAAATTCATAATAAATCTGCCAGGTTCCTTTAACTTTATGTTATAATGTTCTGGTGCATTGATATCAAATATGGCTGGAATTGCTTGGAAGATGGAAGCCTAAAACTTTTATCATGCCAAAGTTTCAATGTTCTTCAAAAGGTATCAAATTGTTTTAAATGTGCAGTCGTAGAAAAAGATAGCCAATGGAAGCTGTTTGCTAGGAAGCCATTTTATAATAGCAAATAACTAAATACAAAGTAAGATCTTTGTATTTCCCTAAACAATATTTTAAAACTGGAAAAGTAACTTGTTTGTTTTTGTTGCTTTTTGAGAATTTTTTACTTTTGCTAACATCCTGTTCATATTCTGGGGGCTAAGCCCCCCATGTTCATAAAACCTAGTGACGCCCCTGCTGTTGATGTGAATCTCTAATTTCTGGATCTAAAACTTAAGCAGTCATTTTGTTCAGTCGTTATTTTGGTTTTGTCCAAAATAACAACATTTCCTTCAGCTCCAGAATGTCCAGGAATCCAAAACATCTAACGCTGACGCTGCACATGTTGATGGAAATCCAGTTGTTGGATTTATTTTCATTGCCTCCATGTAGATAAAATGAATCATGTTTCTGAACTTCCTGGATCGAAGCTCTGGGTTCTGCTCCAGTCGTTGCCTCGGGTCACTGCGCCTCATAACGATGATCCGGCTTTCCTTCAGACATCGTCTGCAGCCGTACGCTGCTCTGCATTTAACAAGCTGCTTTAATTGGATCCTATTTTATAATGAAAATGCTTTTTTATGTTTGGAGTTTTTTGTCTTTATCCCATTTTCAGAAATCATCCGTAATGTTTGGAAGTTTATTTCTCAGCAATCTGTAACTAAATGAACACTGCAGTCATAAAACTTCAAGATAGGAAAGATTTGATTTGGTTTTATTCTTTATAATGATCAATCAGCCAATGTTTGATAAAGATATTAATGATCCTCCAACTTCCCCACAGTCTGTGATTTAGTTTTTATTTGATATTTTTAGAAGCAGTGAGGAGTGGAAGAAAAGTGGAGCTGATGGTTGCACTGTTGCCTTGCAGGAATTAAAAGTCTCAGGTTTGAATCTTGACATCTTTCATTGCAGTATTATGAAACACACTGGAGGCAGCATCATGCTGTGGGGAAGTAGGGCAGTGTTGATGGGAAGAGGGACGGAGCTAAATCTAAGAAGAAAACCAGCAGAAGATCTGAGACTGGGGTCAAAGTTCACCTTCCCTCAGGGCAACCACATCATGTGCTAGAAAGGCCGAGTCGGGCGTGCTGCGGTGGCGCAGGGGGTTAGCATGCCCCACGTTTGGAGGCCTCAGTCCTTGACGCGGACGTTGCGGGTTCGACTCCCAGTCCCGGCGACAAATGATTTAAAAAAAAAAAGAATGGCCTAGTCAAAGTCCAGGTCACTCTGACCAAGTTCAACTGAGAATATGTGATATGACTTGAAAACTGATGTTCACAGATGTTCCTCATCTAATCTGTCTGAGCTTAAGAAGCTTAAAGAAATTAAATTTCACAGTAAAACTAGCAGAGATGAGATTAGAGTTTTTCCCCCCACTGTCGCCACATGCATTGTCGTGAAAGGAACAGATTTGGACCTTGGACCGTCGCTTAGTGCTGGTGTTTCTGTGAAGACGGTCGGCTGTTTTCCAACAATGAGCTGCTTGTTGTTGGCTCAGAAAGGAGCAGTGGGACTGTATGAATAGGGAGCTGTGTGTTGCTGTCGCTGTTCATCTGGACCGAAACGGCTCTGTGCCACTTCTACAGGCTCTCAGATTCATTTTATGTTCTGCTTTGCTTTCAGAGCAAGTGGCTCTGAAGTGCCAGTATTTTTATTTTGAAGATGGAAACGTCTTTGAAAAGTGATTATTTTTGATGATTCAGAAACATGCAACCCAAGCCGGCCCAAGGCATAAGCAAACCGGCCCAAGGCACAAGCAAACCGGGCCACTGCATTCAGCTTCCTAACCATCAGGGTAAAAGTTTGAATTTCACACCTTAGCTCTAAAATATTCAGATTTTTTTTTTTTACTTGAGAATATTGTTGAATTTGGTTTGATGGTTTTCAGTGGAGATCAAATTTAAGATTTAAATATATTAAAATAAACATTTTTTAGCATTTTATTGTTACCATAGATACAATCCTATGCTAGGCGTTTAATCTTTGTTTTGAGTTTCGGTTTGTTCAAAAATTCATCTCAGCAAATAATCAGTTTCCGTGGTTGATTTGGCGAAGTCTTCCTCAGTGACCTCCGGTGTTCCTCAGGGTTCTGGTCTTGTCTTTCTCAGTGACCTCCGGTGTTCCTCAGGGTTTGGTCTTGTCTTTCTCAGTGACCTCCGTGTTCCTCAGGGTTCTGGTCTTGTCTTTCTCAGTGACCTCCGGTGTTCCTCAGGGTTCTGGTCTTGTCTTTCTCAGTGACCTCCGGTGTTCCTCAGGGTTCTGGTCTTGTCTTCTCAGTGACCTCCGGTGTTCCTCAGGGTTCTGGTCTTGTCTTTCTCAGTGACCTCCGGTGTTCCTCAGGGTTCTGGTCTTGTCTTTCTCAGTGACCTCCGGTGTTCCTCAGGGTTCTGGTCTTGGTCCTTTTCTCCACCTGTCTTCTCCCTGTTGGTCTTACTTTCAGAGAATCTGCCGTTCGTGTTCACAGCTCTGCGGATGACACCCAGCTCTCTCTGCGCCATCCTTCCTTTCTGACGGCTCTGTGAAATTAAGTTACATTTTTGTC